GCAGAGCCAGAGACTTCCTCCCCTCGGCACTGTGGCTTTAAAGAGTCACTACAGGGACTTCCCTGATGGTCCAGTGGTTAAGAATATGCCTTGCAATGCAGGGGATGCAGGTTCGATCCCTGGCCGGGAAACTAAGTTCCCACATGCTGCTGGTTAACTGAGCTCATGTGTCACAACTACAGAGTCGGAGCACCACAACCAGAAATCCCACAGAAGCCTGTGAAGATCCTGAAAGCCACAACTAAGTGAAACCTGATGCAGCCAAAGAAACAAAAAGATTTTTTTAAAGTAGGCATTATATTAAAAAGCAGAGACATTACTTTGCCGACAAAGATCCGTCTAGTCAAAGCTATGGTTTTTCCAGTGGTCATGTATGGATGTGAGAGTTGGACCATAAAGAAAGCTGAGCACCAGAGAATTGATGCTTTTGAACCGTGGTGTTGGAGAAGACTCTTGAGAGTCCCTTGGACTGCAAGGAGATCAAACCAGTCCATCCTAAAGGAAATCAGTCCTGAATATTCATTGGAAGGACTGATGCTGAAGCTCCAATACTTTGGCCACCTGATGTGAAGAACTGACTCCTTGGAGAAGACCCTGATGCTGGGCAAGATTGAAGGCGGGAGGAGAAGGGGACGACAGAGGATGAGATGGTTGGATAGCATCACCTATTCACTGGACATGAATCTGAGCAAGCTCTGGGAATTGGTGATGGACAGGTAAGCCTGGCATGCTGCAGTCCATGGGGTTGCAAAGAGTTGGACACAACTGAGCGATTGAACTGAACTGAGGCATTATATTATGAAAATTTAATAGAAGACACAGGAAACTAACAAGACCCAAGAAGCTTTGCATCATTCTTCTTTTTACATTTTTTATTATGGAAAATTTCAAACACCTGAAAGTAGATGAAAGAATACGGCATAATCTCATGTTTCCCTCATCTAACTTCCAGAATTTATCCTTGGCCAATTTTATTTCATCTGTATTTTTTACCCACTTTCTCCTCAAGATTATTTTGAAAGAAATTCCAGATATAATTTATAGGTGTAAATATTTCAGTTTATAAAGCTAACATAACTATAATACTATCATTATCATACCTACGTTAACAATAATTCCTTACAGTTAAATATCAGTCAGTATTCAGATTTCCGAAGGTCCAAAAAGTTGTCATAATTTATTTTAAGCTGTTTTGTTTGAATCAGATCCAAGTAACTTCACACATGTGATTGGCTCTCGTGTCAACTGTTTCATGATTTATGGTTCTACCTCCTGTTTCTTTCTCTTTTTCTTGCTGTTTCTTGAAGAAACCAAGTTGTTTGTTCTCTAGTTCCCCACAGTCTAGTTTTTACTGTTTGCATCTTTCTGGTGTAGATTAACACATTCTGCTCAACCCTGTACTTCCTGTAAATTGTTAGTTGAGTCTGTGAACTTGATCAGATTCAGGTTCCTTATTTTGGGGAAGATCCCCGTATCAGTGCTATGTTCTTCCATAAAAAGACATTAATGCCTGGACTTCCCTAGTGGTCCATGAAGCCTCCACCTTCCCATAGCAAGCGGCCTGGGTTTGAACCCTGGTCAGGGAACTAAATCTTGCACGCTGCAACTAAGAGCCCACATGCCACAGCTAAGACCTGGCACAGCCAAAAACTGACCTTCATGCCTAACAGGCTCTCATTCTGTGATGTTGGTGGCCATTGATACAATGCATAGATCCACTTCTTTGTGAGGATCTGCAAAATGGTAATTCTAAATCTGTCATTCCTTCATTTTTTTTTTCCATCAGGATACTTTCTTTGAAGGAAACTTACTGTGACCTTCCATTTGGTTACCCAAGGACAGAGTTGATACAGGAAAGACAGGGAAAATGTGCTTTCTTCTTAATTTTATTTTTGTCCATTTTCAAAATAACAAGTTCCTGTTTTTGTAATACCCTGTCCAGTGACCAATTCATTTTTGCTGTTGTTGCTGGTATCATAATGAAAGTGCATATTGTTTAATCAGTGTTTGGTTTGCTTTGGTTTGGTGGCTTGATCACAGAGCACATTACCATTTCAGGGACTAAGCCTGCTTTCGAAGCCTCTCTCTTGCCTCAGTAAAATGAAAACTGAACACCTCCAGGGTTTGGCTTCAGAAAGGTAGGCAAGGTCAGCACCCAGGTGCCCTTTCTCTCGATTTCCCCATGCACTGTGTAGGACCTGTCTGTCTTATTCTGTGTGTCTGGCACCCACTGTCACTTCCTGAGAGACTCTGATCTCTCTGTGTTGTGTTGTCTGGGGGAGGTGGTGCCTGTTGTCTCTCGAGAACGCTAGGAGGGTCCACCTTTCTGCTCCCAGTGCCTCCTGGCGGCAGGCATGTGATCCCGGTCAGCTGATCAAACCTCCATCCTGGACTTGGACTGCAGAGCGGGCCAGGAGGGGCACTGTGAGGCCACTCGTCACTGGTGGAGGCCGTGCCCTTCGCCCTTCATGCTAAATGAGGGTAGCTGTGCTGCTGTCACTTTATCTCTGGAGCCCCGCCCCGCCTCCGGTTCTTGGTTGCTTTCTGAGCCTCGTTTAGGCTTTTTATTGGAGCTGTGAGCTCCTGCTATCATTTCAGTAGATCCCTGTGTGCTTAAATAAGCAGTGCAACTTGGCAAGTTGTTGCCTGCAGTTGGGATCTCTGGATGATTCAGTGATTGGCGTTAGACAGTTGGTCTTATAGGAAACACGTCTCCAGAGAACTGTGGGATTGGGGATGAATTATCTGACTGAGTGGGATTAGGCACAGAGTCCAAGTAGGAAATCCAGTTGTCTCTGGCAGGCAGTTGTGAAATAGCTACCCCATCCAGTCACGTGAATTCACGTTGCACAATTTATAGCAAGGTTCTGGGGACCAGAATATGGACTAGTCAGGATGGTGGGGTGGCTGCTCCTGCCTGCAGCGGAAAGTTTAAAGCAAGTAAACAACACATTCAAGTCTCCACACCAACCTGCTGAACCTAAAGAACGTCATTTCTCATAGGTAGTGTGCGTGTGTGCGTGTGCGTGTGTGTGTGCGAGTGCTCGCTCCTTCAGTCATGTCTGACTCATCCAACTCTGTGCGACCCCCCCATGGACTGTAGCCCACCAGGCTCCCTCTGTCCGTGGGATTCTCCAGGCAAGAATGCTGGAGTGGGTTGCCATTTCCTTCTCTAGGGAATCTTCCCGACCCAGGATTGAACCCCGGCCTCCTGCATTGCAGGCTGATTCTTTACTGTCTGAGCCACCATGAACATTATTGAACATTACTGAGGTATAATTTACTTTGCAGGGTTATTAAGAGGATAAAATAAGTTGATATAGAAAGCACTTTGTAAACTGTAAAGTACTGTTTCTTTTTTTTTTTTTTTGGTTTGGGAAGAGCACTGAACAGGAAGTAAAACAAAAATCAATCAATCAATCTGAGAATAGCCCAGAAAACATTAGCTAAACCTAAAAGGAATAGTCTTGGAAATAAGAATTTCTAGTATTTTAAAATATGAGTGTTATCTGCTGGTCAAGCATTCATCAATTATCCTACAGGGAAAAACTGTAAGCAGTGCTGTAAAGAAGACTATCTGCTTTGAAGAGCTTACAAAGGAGTTAATCATCTAGGTGTACTTCAGGACATTTGTGTTATTACAGACGGAAACTTAGAAAATGGGAGATATTGAAGGACCCATGAAAGTACCATAAACCAATTTAAAATGCATATGGGTTAGCGCATTTTTCAATTTCTCTGCAAGGATGGCTTCATGACTATGGCACATCATTGGTTAATCTCATATTGCATTAAATATATAGCTTAAAGTGACTTTTTACAAGTGAAAACAAAATTCTGTGGTCACTGAATTCAACTTTTATTGAGGATATAATGAGGAATCAAACTGTCCCTGTCCTTAAGGGACTCATATTTGCAAGTAGGGGAACAAATTTTACAAGACAAGGGAAGATGCTGGGAGAGCAGAGCCCGCAGAGAGCTGGGGGAGCCCTGCAAGAACCAGGGGGATGGCGGTGGGGGAGGGAGTAGAAATGTTGGGAAGCCACATGGAGAAAGCGGAAGCTTTGCCTTGGCTGAGACTTGAAAGTTTCAGTGCAGGGAGGTAGGGAGGAAGGCCCAGTGGAGCATTGCGTGCAGACAGGAGGCAGGAAAGGATGTGTTGTTTCAGGGACCACGGAGGTCCCGGGATACGAGTGTAAGGCAGTAGGAAATGTATTACTTTTCACAGAAATAAGGAATGAATATTGGCTCTATAAGCACTAATTAATTTACATCATGATTGGCTGTCTACTCGGTGTTTACATTTCTTAGGAACTATTTGTATTCTTTTTTTTCCAGTGTCATGGAAATATTTTAATTGATGAAACATATTAGGAAAAATGTAAACATTCATTAAAGTGCTTCTCTCTTAAGGATTTTGCAGCTACTGAAAGCTTTGACTACCACTAACAGCTTAACACCACTAACACCACTAACACTTTGATGAAACAGAGCATTACCCAAGTAGAGGAGAATCATAAAGATTTGAAACGTCTATAGTTTTCCGATCAGTGACTGACTCATCATAATTTTCAACAGCTGTGCCTTCAAAATCTTTGAGAAAGGTCAGAAATCCATTGTGCAGATGAAGAAACTGAAGCAAACAGGATTCTTCTTGGTCTTAATGTGAGAGACCAGAGTACATCAGGGAGATTATTGCTTTTGATTGTACTAAGTTTCTCAGACCGGTAAGTTTCCATTTGTTTTGTAAATCCCGAAGTGGAAGGTGTTTTGAGATTTCTTCTCCTGTCTACTGGAAATACGTCACTTGATCTTCATAAAGTGCTCGGAGTACTTAGTACTCTAAGAAGCTAGAGCAGGGACTCATTCTCTGAGAGTTTAGAAGAAAGGACGGGCAGCATTGATTATTCATGAAGTTCTGATCATGGAGCTAGTTTAGATCCTTCAGAAGTCAGAGCGTATGATATGTGCATTTGGATTTTTTTTTAAATCACAATTAATCATCTGTCTGAAGTGTCTTCACTGGATTCTTCTTGTATAAGAAGGACATAGCTTCCTGCATTCCTGCTGACGTACCTGACAACACTGCCAAGCAAATGAGACATTTAAAAACCTGTGATTAAGGCACTACATAAATAATCTGTGTTCTATCTTTTCTCTTGTTACATGATTTTTTAATAAATTATGCAAAGAAGGAGGGTACTGGTTATTTTGAATCTAGCAGACTTTTATGCATAGATTTCTGAAAATATTAATTAAAAAAACTACATGAGTTCTACCTCTTCCAGATTCCTAAGATGTCCATCTCCCACTATCTACTCTACGTAGTCCCCATAAAATATTATAAGCTATTAGTGAAGTTCATGTTTCATGCCTATAACTGAAACTTGGACAGAAGACATCTGGATATAATTAAAATAGCAGGTGATTTTAATTTTAAAAATATTGAACAGATATAAAAAATAAATCTCAGAAGACCATCTGCATTTACATTAGAAGCATTATTAAAAGGATAACAACCTTTTATCTCTCTGCACTAGTTTTTCCAATTATAAAAGTAATATGTGTCCACAACAGAATATTTCTAAATATAATGAAGAATAAAATTTAAATGAGCCATTATTCTGCTTCCCATATAATACAGTTCTTATAAAAGTCATTTTTCACCATATGGATGCACCATCAGTTATTTAACCAATTCCTATTGTCAGCCATTCTGGTATTTAAAATATTTTGCCATAATGAACTTTTTATATATAAATTTTTGACATTGCTAATCATTTCCTTAGGGTAAGATTCTAAATGGAAGCACTGGTTCAAATGCCATGAACTTTTTTGGGGAAACTTTTGATACATGTTCATGAATTGCTTTCCAAAAATGATAATGCCAGATAACACTACTCCCAGCAAAGAACAAGGTTGCCGGTCCTCATTCAGTGCTCACTGGCTCAGCATGGAGTTTCAGTATTGCATATTCAACAGGTGAATAGCCTCCTTCTAAAAAGGTACCTGGTAAGAATAGCTTTTCATCACAGTTACAGAGGACTGGTAAATACTACTCTCATCCAGCCTCTACAGATCTAAGTATCAGCGTTCCACTGAGAGAGACGTGCTGAGGTCCTACTCGGAATAAGGTGCCTGCCCACCCTTGAAGGAGTTAAGAGCCTGTGCGGACAGGCTCTGTTCTCCCTCCCTCACGGCCACAGCCCACGGTGCTCAGGGGGGCAAAGATCCCAGGCCCTGTGCCCCATCTTACACCCCCCTTTCCTGTTCTCAGCCACAGGAGACGGGCAGGCCCAGCAGAGGCCAGTTGAAGGGTTCTTGGCTCAAGGCTTGGGCCCCACAGAACATGTCAAGTATACTTGCTTGTGCGTTTTCACAACCACTTACCTAGACGGCTTACACTTTTTGTTCATTGAAAGGCAGGGGAGGAAAAACATTATTTCTCACAAGTCTGTGCTTCTGGTCCTTTTATTCTATGTACTGTTCATAAATAGAATTCTGTACTTTGCATTTATTTGGATATTTACATTTAAAAAGGAAATCATTAAGTAAGCGAACTCTCGGGAAAGGAAAGAATTCTTTATATCCAGTGCATTCTATCTGCTCTTATTTACCCAAGAATCTGTATTAAAGTATATCTTCTCAGAGCAATCTTTGACCTTCAGGGGATAATATACTATATGAAATCATAGTTTGAATATATATATATGTATATGTGAATATATATATATTCTTAGAATATATATGTGAATATATATATGTATATTGAATATACATATTGATATATATTCTTAGACAATAATTTCCTCGGTTGTTCATTTATAGATAAGGGGTAGCTTCTCAGAATCTTTGTCTAATCCAGTCTTTCTTCCTCCTAGTCCTGGAAGGCCATGCCACTATCTCTTTCTTCCTAAGTCTCCAAAATTGACAGATGTCATCATGTCTAAAAGTTCTTGAGAAAAATACATTCTGAGGCAAAACTTCAACAGATCTATGTTATTGTATTGGTGAAGTCAGGGAATTCACTCAATCCATCTAGCCTTTGATAAAAGGATAAAAAAAGAATAATTACCTACCATAGACTGATGGCTGGAATTAGTAATAAAACAGCGGAGAGCAGAAAGACGAAGCCTTTGTACCAAGCAACAGTGGCTGAATAAATTCCGTTGAAAGTAGAAACTGCAGTGATTCCGCCAAGTGTTTCTAAGAACGCAAGACAAGCAAACATGGTGCCTGTTTGGGGTCGGGGTGAGGAGGGAAAGAGAGAAAAGGCTGAGTTACAAAACAACAAACAAAATAACAGAAAACTGCAAACATGGGGGCGCTGCCTGGTGAAGGAGGCAGTCACCCATTTTGTGGGTGAAGAAATTGAGGTCAAGAGCTCTCCTTGGACCTGACGAGAGAGGAGCTGGAATCAGTACTTCCAGGATCCACGGGGCAAAGCTAAAAAGCACTGGCCGCTTAGGCGTGTGGAATCAGCTGTGTGTCTGCCCCGACCACAGCCTGAGACACAGAACCACCTGCCCCTGAGGTTCCAGGCTCCCCCTGCCACTCTTGGTCCCTGGGCTAATCTGAGACACAGCTGTGGGGCAGGATGCCTCCCTGTGGGCAACATCCGGGTCAGGTCAGATCCGGCAAGAGTGACAGGCAAGGCAGAGAGATATAATCTTATCTTATGTGCCGGCACGATAAGTCGCTTCAGTCATGTCCGACTCTTTGTGACCCTATGGACCGTGGCTCTCCAGGCTCCTCTGTCCATGGGACTCTCCAGGCAAGAACACTGGAGTGGGCTGCCATGCCCTCCTCCAGGGGATCTTCCCAACCCAGCGATCTTAACGTCTCCTGCATTGGCAAGCGGGTTCTTACCACTAGCGCCACCTGGGAAGCCCTTGGGAATCTTATCATACATTCTGCAATTTGAATTTGATCCCTTCCTCTAGAGCAACAAAAAAACCAGTTACTTCAGTTTCCTGTTTGACTGGTCCAGTAACTACGTCACTGCGCTATGCTCTAGTAAAGGTTATGCCACAGGCTGATATTAAGTGATTCTCTAAAACATACTTTTCTGTCTTAACCTGCTTACAACTGTCCCCTCAGAGGGGACTCTGCTCTCCTTCCTGCTTGCTACCCCAGGCATGGGAAAGGGCAGGTGTCAGAGCATTGCTCAAGAAGCCTGAAAATGACTTTGGGGTCAGCTCAAGCTCACAGTCAGAGAAATGGTCCTTATTCCACAAGTTTTGAGTCCTGTCTGGAATCCAAGACCATGTTGACTGAAGAGTTAAACTGAAGAGATAACCCCCCAAAAGACAGTTGAGCATCTTGACGCACTTTTCTTCCTCTTGGTCAAATTTCGCATCACTAAGAACGCCATGGCTGTTCTCAGCCCCCGGCTTCAGTGGTATAAGCTCCTACAGTTTCTGCAGATCCTTCTTTCTTCAAGCTGCTGTGTTTGTTCCCTACTTTGCCGAGTTTCCTTTTCCATGATAAACTGTAATGCACTTTCCTTATAGACAGTGCTAATTATGTAAGTGATTGTGCTTAATTGGACTGATAAGGAAGGAAAAAGCAAGTTCGAGGATCACCTTTAACAGCTGGATTATAGTTTATGTGTCTAGCCTCTTGCTTTCCCCACATTCTTGCTCTTTTAGACTGTGTATTGATTTTTGTCTCTTTAAATCTTCACTCTATTGTACACATTCTGGTTGGTATGTGTGTGTGAAGTCGCTTCAGTAGTGTCCTACTCTTTGCAGCCCTATGGATTGTAGCCCGTCAGGCCCCTCTCCATGGGATTTTCCAGGCGAGAGTTCTAGAGTGGGTTGCCATTTCTTTCCTTCTCCAACATATTCTCATATACTACTTCAGAGTCTTCATTGAACAACAGGACATATGTTCATAAAACAAACCTCTCTCTGCAGAATGCTAGGTTATCAGAGATGTGTCTTCTTTTGACCACAGTGAAAGTTCTGCCCATGTCAAGTGCACATTTGCTTTGTCCACTGCTGTGTCCCCAGGGTCTAGCTGTGCTGGCGAGGGTAGACATTTAATACATACTTGTCAAGTGATTGAATAAAAGCTTCATTCAAGGGCACTGTTATCCATCATCATGTAGCAAGCATACGGGCTTAGTGCCTCCATGATAATACAAGATTATACAGAATATTATGATATTTATGATAATACAGGAAGTCAGTTTAATTGGAAACAAGGTCTCCTAGTTATCTAACTATGGCATTGTTTCATTTTATTTCTGATTCCGTGCTAAAGCCAGGGACGGTGCCATGGTGCTAATCCTATTTACACGGTGGCTTGAGTCTTTTCTTGTCGGAAACTCAGTCAGGCTGTGCAAACAACTACCCTCTCATGAAATAGCTCTAGCTTCTTGCTGCACCTCCCTGAGTAGTACAACTTGTTTAATAGTTACCAAAGAAAAATTGATTAAATAAAAGTGCAATGGAGTTTATTTTCTAAACTTTAAAAAAATCCAATAGATGTCAAAACTCAGGTCTGTCTGTTTTACTGGGTCCCATGTATTAAAGTGGCTCATCTGGTTAAGAATCCGCCTGCAACGTGGGAGACCTGGGTTCAATCCCTGGGTTGGGAAGATCCCCTGGAGAAGGGTAAGGCTACCCATTCCAGTATTCTGGCCTGGAGAGTTCCATGGACTGTATAGTCCATGGGGTCACAAAAAGTTGGACACGACTGAGTGCCTTTCACTTTCACTTTCATGTATTACTAGAATTTCAAGGAGTACACAGATGACAAGCTAAGAGGGAGTCCAGGGTGCTCTAGCAATGAATTTCATAGCTGTCTGGAGCACAGAGATTTCAAAATAATTAGCGAAAGTCAGTTTCCTCCTCTTTTTTACATAAGGTATTATAATAGAGATAGGGAGAAGCACCCGAAAAACTCTGTAGCACTTCCCTTCTCAGAATATTTTAAGGTGCCTAATGTTTTCACAAAAACATCCATTTTTAGAAGTAATGAAGGATGGAAGTACATTCACTTTTATACATTTCAGTACCACCAGAAGGATTTCTTCATTTGCAGTTAAGAACAAAATGACTCTACTATCCTGGAGCAATGGAATCACAATGGAATTGACAAAGTTATTTCAACTCAGAATAAGACATGCCAAAATGCAAACTACACATTTTGAAATCTCACTGTATTTAATAATATGAAACCACTTCTTAAAAGAGTTGATAAATAAACCAAGCTAAACTAAAGCAAAGTAAATAATACATTCTGACAAGTCTATTGTAATTCTAAGTCAAAGCAGGTTGATATTTATTTTTGTTTCCTGAACAGCTTTACTGAGATATAATTCACATAATATAAAATTCACCCTTTTAAATTGTACAGTTCAGTGGTTCTTCCTATGTTCACAGAAACTGGGCGACCATCACCACCATCTAAGTTTAGGACATTTTCATCTCCCCAACAGACTCTTTGTGCCCATTAGCGATCACTCCCTTTTCTCTAGTCCCTGGGGAAGCACTGGTCGAATTTCTGTCTCCATGAATTTGCCTATTCTGGAAATTTTGTGTAAAATGGAATCATATTTATATAATAAATAATATGTGACCTTTTGTGACCAGCTTCTTTCATTTAGCATAATCATTTCAAGGTTCATTCCTGTTGTAGTGTGTATCATGACTTCATTTCTTTTTATTGTGAAATCATATTCTGTGGGACAGACACACCTTATTCTGCTTACGTATTCACCAGTTCATGGGCATTTGCATTGTTTGTGCTTCTTGGCTATTATAAATAATCCTGCTATGAACATTTGTGTGCAAGATTTTGTGTGGACATGTGTTTTCATTTCTCTTCAGTGTATACCTGGGAATGGAATTGCTGAGTCATATGGTAACTCTATTTAACTTTATCAGGAGCTATCAAACTGTTTTGTTAAATGGTTGCATCATTTTAGATGATTTTCTCACCAGCAGTGCATGAGGGTTCCAGCTTCTCCACATCCTCATCAACACTTCTTATGGTCTGTCTTTTTCATTTCACCAATCCCAATGGGTCTCAGTGTGGTTCCGATTTGCATTTCCCGGATGGCTAATGATGTTGATCATTTTTCATGTGTTTGTTAGCCATTTGTACATCTTCTCTGTAGATGTTAGTTCAAATCCTTTGCCCATTTCTTAATTGGATCGTCTTTTTATTGCTGAGTTTTAGTATATTTTGGACACAAGCTCCTTATCAGAGATATGATTTGCAAGTATCAATATATTTTCCCATTCAGTGAGCTGTCCTTTCACCTCCCCCCCCCCCCTTTTTTCCCTCTCTCTCTTTCCTTTTTATTTTTTAAAGTATGGAAGTATGGTAAAACATTTACAGCAGACTTGGACAATACAGAACAAAGTTACATATTCTTTTCACTTTCTTGATGGTGTCCTCTGAAGCATGAAAGTTTTTAATCTGGATAAAGTCTAATTTATCTGTTTTGTTGTTGTTGTACTTTTGGTGTTGTATCTAAGAAACCCTTACATAATTCAAGGAAGCAGCTAGGTTTTTACATACTGTAGTTCTTATATTCCTAAGTGATTTTCCAATTACTCTGCATCACACAATCAACAAATATTTGTGTGAATATACAGCTACATCTTACGCATGGAAAAGAATTGAGAAATATATTTTTAAATTTGTTGAATTATTCAATCTTCTGCAGTGGGGCAGGGCATGTCTAGAGCAAGCCCTCCACAGCACAAGGCCCTGGGCAGGGGCTCCCTTGCCTGAATATCAGCTCTTCCTAACACAGACCTTATCACCCGATTCAAAAGGAGTTCTGTGCAGAAAAAGGGTTGAGAATATTCTGAAGAATCAAACACTGATTGTACACAGCTATGAGGTGGTACAGATTATAAAGTCATTCTGTTCCTTAAGCAAGTTAGACTCACCTTGCTCAGTAGAACGCACCACTTTTGATATCATGGACCGTAGAACAGAGAGCGGCATGACAGTGAAGAGGAATGGCAGCCTGACTGTGAGAGGAAGAGATAACAATTAACTGGCTCGATCTGAAAACTCAGGGTCAGTTTTAAGCCTGAAACACTTTCCCTCTAAATAGTTCATTTTCTCTCAGCATCCTGATTCATTGCTTCTAACGACTGAATTAATTAATGGAAGAATTCTTTTTAATAAAGGAAGATAGAGGATGGACAGGTCAGTTTAAGATGAGCTTACTTTCTGCAGATGTAGAAAATTTAGGGTTCCTGGGGGTAAGGGAAGAGAGGAAGGATGAATCGGGAGATTGGGACTGACACATACGCAGCACTAGATAAAAAATAGATAACTAATAAGGACCTACTGTAGGGCACAGGGACCTCTACTCAACACTCTGTAATGGCCTCTATGGGAAAAGAATCTAAAAAAGAGTGGGTATATGTATGTATTTGTGTCACAGATTCACTTTGCTGCACCCCTGAAACTAACACAACACTGTAAATCAATTATACCCCAATACAATTTTTACAAAATTATATAAAAAATTAATTTACTCTCAAATCCTTACTCTAGTGCAGAGAACAAGAGTTTATGGAAGTCATTGGTCCAGGTCTGTATAATCTGCTGCTGGAAATTGATATGTTTCCCTGGTTATTACAGTAACTTCATGTTTAGCAGGTTGTGACTGTTAATAAGTTTTTTGTTTGTTTTCTGTTTCTGCTCTTTCAGACCTGGCAGTTTTAGTGCTAGCATTCTTTCATTGTATGATCTACTCATTGGCAAACTGGTTCCTTATCTTTTCAGTTGTTCATTTTTGTGGCTGAAAAATTTCAGGAACACAAATTGCCTCTGTTCTTAAATTCTGACCCTTAAGAGTCAGTAGCATTTTTCATTATAAGATAAAACAGTAAGATATTATATTTGCAGATCACTGTAAATTTCTCACATATATAAACTGACTTTGGCCTTGGCAATTCCAAGGGAGATGGGGAGAGGGACCTGTCCTTTTCTGAACTCTTGGCATTGTGCTAAGTGATTTGCAGTCGTCTCTTCTAATATTTGTGACAATCCTCTGAATCAAGCACCACGATGCCCATTTTAGAGATATAAAAAAAAAAATAAGGGCTCAGAGCAGTTCAGTAACTAGCCTAAGATCACCTGGCTCTGCAGATGGAAATTAAACCCAATTCTGCTTGTCATCTTGCCTCCTTGCAGGGTAGCAAGAGGTTAATACTGCCTTTGTCGAAAAAGACTAAATGGGCCTTTCCTGAGGTCTCACTTTACAGATCCTTTAACCTTTGCAAGTGCAGTATTTTTCACTCAAGCCTTACAAAAACCACTGATGGGGTGCAGGTAGTTAAGGAAACAGTCCAGCTTGCCAGAAAGTGATTCATCAAAAGTCAATTCATGAAATGACCAATTTGCTGAAATTTCAGTTTGCAAAGTCTCCTTGAATACATCCAGACGAGATCGGGCACGTTCAGGGTGGTATGGTCATAGACTTGAATATATTCAATGAATATTTTTCTTACAAATTTTTTGAGCATCCTTTACATAATAATCTTATTTTTTTTAATCTAAAGTAGCCTTCTTAGTAGCGCTTTAAGAAATAGTTAAGTTGGTGAATGTTATATTGAAGAACTGATTCACAAGAAGTTTCCTCAAGACAATTATTGGGCAAATATGCAAATTTAGAAAATTGTGGTTATTAAAAAAGTTTTTTTTTTTTACGTCAGTTGTTTTTCAGCTTCTGGAAAATTAGCTTTTAACAAATTACCTTTAATTAAACTAGAATACATTAAATAGATAATTTTATATTAAAATTTCTCAACCATCAGACTGCATTCATTTTATATAAATATCAAATATGAAATTATAGGATACACTTGTAACTTGTAACTTACCTAAAAACATCATCAATGTTGTTCTGGCAAAAGCAGTCATAGCCATGCCCACCATGGTGGTAAAAGTTCCTATGAAGGCCATGTGAATATCTTCCATACAATAAGAAAAAAGCCATATTCCTAGGAAACTGGTGAAAAAAGTGACACTACCCAAAGCTGATCCATAACCTATTAAAACTTCATCCCAGCAGAGCGGCGAATCCAATTCATAAAGGACAAAAATGGGGGAAACACCAATGGTCACAAAAAAGTAAGTGATCATCGTGAAAAGCAACAAACCGCACAAAGACCGTTGCGCACCAGAAGCATTTTTAAAAAGCATGTACGTTCGGTTAAATAGGTTTTTAAAGGCTTCAGTCCACGATACAGAAATATTCTGAGATGAAGACTCTTTCATTGAATCCTCAAGAAAAAATAAAATATAAATCAAGTTCACAGAAAGAGCCACGGTAACAATTAAAAAGGACCACACAAAACCTAACCCTCTAATAAAATAGCCAGAAGACAATCCTGTTAATCCACTCACAACTCCAAACAGGAAGTCAATTATGGCGATTCGAATCGTTCTTTGTTTCTTTTCTTTACATTGATCAACTATGTAGGCAAAAGAGGCTCCCAGAAGTGTGGTGTAATTGCCAAAAAGTGCACCAATGAAGGTAGATGCAATCAGAAGTTGGATTGGAAGGGCAAAATAAGAGAGTAGACAGAGCCAAGCGCTGTTTGCAAGAGCGCCGACAGAAGACAAAATCAGAGGGAATTTCCTTCCTCCATGGTCACTGTGCGACAGAAACACAAATGTAGACACGAGACCGGGAATTAACCCACTTATGTCCATTTGCAGGTTAAAAAGAGACACTTTTTTCTGGACCTCCTGCAAAGAAAAAGAAAACAAAGTGTTTACAGAGGTTTTTACAATGTGCCTGAAAATATTTTGGTATAGACTTTTCTTGAAAAATCAAGCAAGAGCTGGTAAGTCAGGGATGGGGAATTTATAGTGCATGAGTTTTTTGTTTTTTAAAAATATTTATTTGTTTGGTTGCCCTGGGTCTTAGTTGTGGCAAGCTGAATCTTTGATCTTTGTTGCACCACGTAAACTCTTAGTTGCAGGTCCCCCAGCATTGGGCAAGAAGTCTCAGCCACTGGACCACCAGGGAAGCTCTCAACTTAAATCTTTATCCAGTTCACAATGCAAAGATCAAGAGCTGATATAATCATCAATGCTCAGTCATAATGTTCAAGTACCACAGTGGAGACATTGACCCATAAAAATAAAATGTGTGTATTGGCGTATGTCTGGCTCACATCAAGGATCCACAGAGCCCAAGGCCTCATGGACTGGCCGTGTAATGACTTCCCTTCCTTCTGTGGACTTCCCTGATAGCTCAGTTGGTAAAGAATCTGCCTGCAGTGCAGGAGACCCCAGTTCAATTCCTGGGTTGGGACGATCCCCTAGAGAAGGGATAGGCTACCCACTCCAGTATTTTGGCCTGGAGAATTCCATCGACTGTACAGTCCATGGGGTCATGAAGAGTTGGACACAACTGAGCAAATTTAACTTTCTTTCACTTTCTTCTGTGGACAGTTCGCACTAAGAGATCGCGTTCTAAAGGAAAAAGGATACCTTTTTCCATGATACATCTTTCTGTCTACTCTAAGGGAATGAATATCACATGTACGTGTCATATTTGACAGACTTTTATTTAGGTAGAGCTCAGTTGTCCTTTTTACATGTGTCTCCACAAGTATTCCTTTATTTACTAAAAATTAAGATAAAACCCAAAGAAGAGTTCTGTATTGACTAAAGATGGTAGTGTTCCATAAACTAAGGAGTGAGATAAACTCCTCTTTCCTGAAGCCTGACACAACTATGAGCGCACAGATTGGCGGACACAACCATCATTGCACTAGTTATTTAATGTAAAGAACTTGGGGTGATTTAAAAGCATTGCCTTCTTGCCTCTTCTCTGTATTTTCCAAACTTTATATTAAGGCTGGGTGCCATTTTTATAATGGTGATGACTAAACTCAGTTTAAAGGCTTTACACATGGGACTAGTGGTAAAGAACCCGCTTGTCATTATGTCTCATTGGCAAGGCATAGTCAGAAACAGGTTCAGTCCCTGGGTCAGGAAGATCTCCTGGAGGAAGGCATGGCAACCCACTCCAGTATTCTTGTGTGGAGAATCCCATGGACAGAGGAGCCTGGTGGGCTACAGTCCATGGGGTTGCAAAGAGTTGGACACAACTGAAGTGTTTTAGCACACATGCAAACTCATTCAAAAAAATTTATTCAGAGTAGGGAGGAGCCAAGATGGCGGAGGAATAGGACGGGGAGACCACTTTCTCCCCTACAAATTTATCGAAAAAACATTTGAACGCTGAGCAAATTTCACAAAACAACTTCTGATCGCTAGCAGAGGACATCAGGCGCCCAGAAAAGCAGCCCCATTGTCTTCGAAGGGAGGTAGGACAAAATATAAAAGATAAAAAGGGAGACAAAAGAGCTACGGACAGAGACCCGTCCCGGGAAGGGAGTCTTAATAGAGGAAGTTTCCAATCACCAGGAAACGCTCGCACTGGCGGGACTGGGGGAAGTTTTCGGCAATCTAACTGGGAGGAAAAATTAAACAAGGCCCACAGATTACGTGCCTAAAAGCAACTCCCAGCAGAAAAGTACCCCAGACGCCCGTACCCGCCAGCAACAAGCGGGGGCGGAACGGAGAGGAGCGGGCGGCATTGCTTAGGGTAAGGACCGGCCCGAAGACCCTGAGAGCAATTGGAGGGAGCTTTTTTAAACTGTGGGATAGCAAGGGTCAAAATTAACAGGCCCGAACACACTGCCGGCGGTTCGCAAAACAAAGGGACTGAGAAAGTCCAGAGAAGAGCCGGCCCATCCCCGCTGGAGGTAGGAGGCAGGGGGCAGGGGAAAAGGGCAAACTCAGCCCCTGAGAAGCCACCCCCTCCCACACTGCAAACAGGCCCCGGTTCCTATCTAAAGACTTCCTGGGACCCGACTGGCGGCGCGCGCTGGGGCCGCGGAGGGAAAAAGCGCGCCGTACCCGGGGAGAGTGCGCCCAAGCCTCTGGCTGCCTGAGCTGCCCGCCGCGGAGGGAAAAGGCGCGCCGCACCGGGGAGAGTGCGCCCAAGCCTCTGGCTGCCTGAGCCGCTCGACGCGGAGGGAAAAGGCGCGCCATACCGGGGAGAGTGCGCCCAAGCCTCTGGCTGCCTGGGCCGCTCGACGCGGAGGGAAAAGGCGCGCCGCACCCGGGGAGAGTGCGCCCAAGCCTCTGGCTGCCTGGGCCGCTCGCCGCGGAGGGAAAAGGCGCGCCGCATCCGGGGAGAGTGCGCCCAAGCCTCTGGCTGCCTGGGCCGCTCAGGCCGGGGAAGGCACAAAACGCAGGCGCAACCGAATCCGGGCTTTTGTGGAGTACCCGAAAACTGGAACCGCACTCAACGCAGGGCCCGCTCCATATAGAGCAGCCGGGAGCCTGAGCAGTGTAGACGGGGAAAGCACTGACACCCGTGAGCGGGGCAAAGTCAGTGTGGCCGGTGAGTGCTATCCACACAGAGCGGTATCTGTCTGCAGCGCCCCGCCCTCCCCGTAGCAGGACTGAACTGAACTAGCGAACCTACATAAGAGATCACCTCCGCCCGCCTGTGTCAGGGCGGAAATTAGACACCGAACAGACGGCAAACAGAAGCCAAATAAACAAAGGGAACTGCTTCAGAAAGGACTGGTGCAACAGATTAAAATCCCTGAAGGTAACGCCGACTACACAGGAAGGGGCCTACAGATATCGAGAAGTGTAAGCTGGAAAGAGGCGCTATCTGAAATTGAACTGAACCTACACTGACCGCAACAACTCCAGAGAAATTCCTAGATATATATGTATATATTTCTTTTAATTAAAAATTTTTTTTTCTTTCCTTTTTTTTTACTTTTTATTTTTTCTCTTTTATTTTCTTTTAAAATTCCCTATTACTCCCCCATTACTCCTCAACTTTCATTTTCATATATTTTTACGATTTTTTTAATTAGGGAAAAAATTTTTTTTTCTTTTTTTTTCTTTTTCTTGTTTTTCTCTATTTCCTTTTAAAGTCCTCTAATACTCCTCTATTATTCCGTAATTTTCATTTTCATTTCACTATAACCTTGCCAAAAAAGAGAGAGAGAGAGAAACCCTATTTTTAAACCGAACTTCATATACATTTCTAAATTTTTTGTATGTTTTTGTTTTTGAATATTGTATTTCAAAGAGTCTAACCTCTACACTAAATTGTTAATCTTTGTTTTTCAGTATGTGATATAAATTTTGGACATTTAAGAATCCAATATTCAGTTCCCATTTCTATTCAGGAGTGTGGTGATTACTCTCCCACTTTTGACTCTGTTTTCTACCTCAGAACACCTCTTTTTCCTCCTTTCCCCTTCTCTTCCCAATCCAACTCCGTGAATCTTTGTGGGTGTCTGGGCTACGGAGAACACTTTGGGAACAGATAACTGCATAGATCTGTCTCTCTCCTCTTGAGTCCCCTTTTTCTCCCCCTGATCACCTCTATCTCCTTCCTCCCTCTCCTATTCTTCATGTAACTGTGAACCTCTCTGGTTGTCTCTCACGGTGGAGAATCTTTTCACCATTAACCTAGAAGTTTTATTATCAGTGCCGTATAGTTGGAGAAGTCTTGAGACTATTGGAAGAATAAAACTGAAATCCAGAGGCAGGAGACTTAAGCCCAAAACCTGAGAAAGCCAGAAAACTCCTGACTACACGGAATATTAAGGAATAAGAGACCATCCAAAAGCCTCCATACCTACACCAAAACCAACCACCACCAACGAGCCAATAAGCTCCAGTACAAGACGTACCACGCAAATTCTTTAGCAACGCAGGAACATAGACCTGAGTGTCAACATACAGGCTGTCCAAAGTCACACCTAACACATAGACCCATAGCAAAACTCATTACTGGACACTCCATTGCACTCCAGAGAGAAGAAATCCAATTCCACGCACCAGAACGCTGACACAAGCTTCCCTAACCAGGAAACCTTGACAAACCAATTGTCCAACCCCACCCACTGAGTGAAACCTCCACAATAAAAAGGAACCACAGACCACAAGAATACAGAAAGCCCACTCCAGACACAGCAATCTAAACATGATGAAAAGGCAGAGAAATACCCAACAGGTAAAGGAACATGAAAAAAGCCCACCAAGTCAAACAAAAGAGGAGGAAATAGGGAATCTACCTGAAAAAGAATTTAGAATAATAATAAAAATGATCCAAAATCTTGAAAACAAAATGGAGTTACAAATAAATAGCCTGGATACAAAGATTGAGAAGATGCAAGAAATGTTTAACAAGGACCTAGAAGAAAGAAAAAAAAGTCAATTAAAAATTAATAATGAAATAAATGAGATCAAAAACACTCTGGAGGGAACCATGAGTAGAATAACAGAGACAGAAGATAGGATAAGTGAGTTAGACGATAAAATGGTGGAAATAAATGAAGCAGAGAGGAAAAAAGAAAAAAGAATCAAAAGAAATGAGGACAACCTCAGGGACCTCTGGGACAATGTGAAACGCCCCAACATTCGAATCATAGGAGTCCCAGAAGAAGAAGACAAAAAGAAAGGCCATGAGAACTTACTCGAGGAGATAATAGCTGAAAACTTCCCTAAAATGGGGAAGGAAATAGCCACCCAAGTCCAAGAAACCCAGGGAGTCCCAAACAGGATAAACCCAAGGCAAAACACCCCAAGACACATATTAATCAAATTAACAAAGATCAAACACAAAGAACAAATATTAAAAGCAGCAAGGGAGAAACAACAAATAACACACAAAGGGATTCCCATAAGGATAACAG